ATCCGGGTTCGACTCCCGGCCGAGGCAATATTTTTCGCAATAAGTTTATTACAGTTTTTTAAGATTTGGGAGAATTTGGGGGGATTATTTGTTTCAGATTGATTGTGTGAATCCGATAAATTCATCGGCTCTCAATTTATTTTCTGAAATATTAATTCAATTTAATTGAATGTATATTAGACAGTAGTTCAACATCTTAACACTCGACCGAAAAGGCGCTTTGTATTTAAAGTCTTAATATTTATATAGACGGTCTTGTTTCCAATCATATAATTTTATTGTATTTTTAATATTTTTAAAATTTGAAGATAATATAATAATTCATCTTTAATTATTGTAGCAAATATGTATCTTTTTTTCGAAAAGTAATTTTTTTATACGAAATTAAATTTAAAACGTGTAGTTAGTAATAAAAAAGTTTGGGAATTCTGAAATAAATTATATTTATTAATGTGAAAAGACATGTGAAATTTTTCAATGCACAGAGTACGGCAATTAGTATTTAGTCAGATATTGCTGTTGATTTGTTATTCAAGATAATTATTCAACATAATTATTAAATTCTGGTGTACAATATCAAAGATAATATGCGTGTATGCGCATTAACACGCACATTTATATGCACAATGAATAGGAAGAAGGAGATAGAAAGACTTAGAAAGAATACAAATGCAAATGTAAAAAAAGAGCGAAAGTTTATAATTTTATATCTATAATTTCTGTTTTCTTATTTTTGTTTAATTTCTGTTTCTTCTATCCTTGTATCCCTTCCCACACATATTCAGGCCACCCTGTCAGAAGAAGCTAAGGAAGTGTACAACAGTTTGGTGGAGACGCCAACATTGGAAAGTACTGGGGATACGAATCCGTTGCGCATGTTACGTTCCGGATTATCTATAGTAAGGCCTAGAATTCGTGGGAACAAACATGCCACTCTGGGCTACCCAGTGTTATCGCAGTCAGAAGACGTATCTGGTGAGCATGGCTTCCATTTCGAGATGCACCATAGCGGTGCGATGACTTTGCCCAAAATCCGAGCACCTCCATCGCCTCATGCAATTTTATCTCTGCCTCAATCACGCATTCTTGAAAGACATCACTCTATGGAAATAGAGAATAATCAGAATCAGAGTAACATCGATGAGAACCCAATACCTCTACCGCCTAGAGACCGCTCAAAGACACTTCAGCCCAAATCTAGTTTACCACGACATCAAAGGAAGCATCCTTTGATCATACCTGGAGGTGGTGTCACAAGAACGCTAGCCAAGATGGCAATAACCATGCCATCCGTAGAAGATCAAGTGGACGGACATTTCATGTTACAGAATTTTGATATGGCAATCGGTGAGACTTTGCTACAGGACAACTATCTTTCAGAAGCTTCTGTTAATAGGTAAGATTCTCTACGAACTACTATAAGTTTTTATCTTTATTTTAAAAAACATTAAATGGAAAAAGAATTAGTTTAATATTCGAACAATCAAATTATAAAAAGACAAAGAAGCCACGCTTGATGTTCGTGCTGTAAACAATATTTATATGTTTATAATGGAATAACAATTATGCAACATACATACAATAGACGTTTCGACCTTTTTATATTAGGTCCACTTCAGTGTAATAAAACTTAACAACGCAACTATTTTACATTTTAAATTCTTGTTAAGATTGAGATCGTAATGAGAGTCCTATGCTTTGCACATTTACAAATGTCAAATTGAATTAATCCATAATCTCTTGTGGAGAACTTACAAAGAGAGGCTACACTCTTCTCTTCACCGATTTTGATCAAACTTGCAGCGATGTTAGAGAAGCCTATCAAATAAATACTTGTAAAGCCATTCCCGCTAATGAGTCTTAGAAGCCGCGTAATAGAATTTAAAAATATAGTAAAAATCTGGAAACAGTCTAATATCTCGGAAAATATGCATTTTTTTGAAAGAGATATTTTAGACAAAAATGGTAGTTTAATAAGGTGTATTTATTGGTTTCATCTTGAGTGGCATTGCCAAGTCAAGGTTAACGATGCTTTCCAAGATCAAACCAATAAAAGCCAATAAATACATCTTATTAAACTCTACCATTTTTATCTAAGGCATTTTTCTAAAAAATATATACTTTCCGAGATCTTAGACTGTTTTCAGATTTTTTGGCATATTTTTAAATGCTCATTACTCGGCTTCTAAAGCCCATTAGCGGGAACGATTTTATAGGTATTTATTTCGTAGGCTCCTCTAACATTACTGCAAGTTTGATCAAAATCGGTGAAAAGCAGAGCGTAGCCTCTCCTTGTTAGTGTATGTCAATGTAGTAATAGCATGAAGTTTAAATTTATGTTACCCTCTCTTGAACATTCTTTTATCACACTGAAATGAACCTGATGTCAAAAGGTCGAATCATCTGTTGTATGTATTGTATGTTTGCATAATTGTTATTTTATTATAAACATATAAATATTGTACAGCACGAACATCAATCGTGTCTTCTTTGCCTTTTTATAATTTGATTGTTTGAATTTTATTTGGTGAAGCCTAATACATTGTTTAATTTTAAATTTAGTTGAATATATTTAATATTTTAAGCATGGAGAATGTGACATAATTTGTAATATGAAATTGATTATTAAAGATTACAAGTGCGAATGATTCTTAATATTCTTATCTTCTATATGATATTTATTATTCATCTTCATTTGAATTTTTGGTGAATGTTTGGGTGAATGTTAGAGGATACTCCTTCGATGACCTCGACATTGACATATGAAGATCATGACCCTGAGTGATCTCCAACAGGTTCAGCCGACGTTCGTTATTCATTCAAAAGTTATTAACAATCATAATTCGTAATTATTTCTCCGCTTTGCATGGAAAATCGGATGATTCTAGTAGGGGGGGGGGAGATATGGGGTAAACTAGGGAAGTATGACTTTCCACGCGAAGTGAGGTTTACCCCACCTTCCCTCCCTGTTATAGCAGCATTCGGATTTCCACGCGAAGCGGGGTCCACTCCAGTGGCGGATACAAGGGGGGGGGGGGCAGAGAGGTCGGTCGCCCAGAGTTGACTAAAAAAAGATAGTTGACAGAAAGATAGAAAAAAATAGGAAGTTAGAATTTATTATATAACAAAATTTGTTTTCAAATAACATTTCATGTTATGTTAATGTATGTAAAATAGTAATAATAAATAAATTTCAAGGCTATAATGAAAGTCAGTGCGGAAAAAAATTTATTTATTATTATTATTTTAAATATAAAGAGTCCGTTTTAATCATAATATTCTTTAATGTATATACACTGCTCAAAAAAATTATGACATAGGAAAATTATGGGTAAAAGTTGGTCAACTTCGATTGACGATAACTTTGCAAAAAATTATCGTAAGATAATAGTTTTTTTTTTTAATTAAAGCTTGAAATCTCTGCTTTAAGACGCTATGGCCAGATTTTAAGTTTAATGAACCCGTGCCACTGTTAACTCTCAAAATATGAGAGTGTGTTTGTCATATTGAGAATTACAAAGTTTGACAGAATACATGGACTTTGTAAAATTTTTTGGAGGAATGCTATTTGGAGGAATGCCAGTTGGAGGAATGCAGCGGCGTAAAGTTCGAACTTTCCCCTTTAATTTAAAAAGAAAAAGAGTTGCTGTGATTTTTTTTTTTACAAAATTATAATACTTTAATGTCATTCTGGAGTTGACTAGATAATGGATCATAGATTAAGAGATTTGGCAAGACAACTTGCCAATCTTAGAGACTTATCGCAAGCTCTACAACGCGGAAATAACACACGTTACTGAAATTTACACACAGAAACACAATGCACAAAATCTACACACACACACACACACACACACAAAGAAACACGATGTGCAAAATCCAGCAACCTTGTCGTGATGCATATCTGGTAATGCAGGTAATGTCTGTAGTATATTCTGTCAAAAAAGTACCGGGAATTGATCAATAAAACACAAAATAGTTATTATTCATTCAAATTTATTGTATCGCCTTCAAAGTAGGCTCCTTTCGAAATAATACATTTATGCCAACGAATAATCCAATCATCAAAACATTTTTTAAACGCATTTTCCGAAATCGACTTCAGTTCTCGACGCGAATTCTCTTTTATGTCTTCTATCGACTGAAAACGAGTGCCCCGAAGTGGTAATTTGAGTTTTGGAAAGAGAAAAAAGTCAGCCGGAGCCATATCTGGTGAATACGGTGGTTGTTCGATGATATTTGTTGAGTTTTTGGTCAGAAATTCGTTCACAATGATAGCCTTGTGAGATGGTGCATTATCATGGTGCAAAATCCATGAGTTTGTTTTCCACAAATCTGGCCTTTTTCGACGAATTTGCTCTCTCAAACACCGCATAACGCCCAGATAATATTCTTTATTTACCGTCTGACCTTCTGGCAAAAACTCCGAGTGCACAACACCGCGACAATCAAAGAAAACAGTTAACATCACTTTGACTTTTGATCGACTTTGACGTGGTTTTTTCGGTTTTGGCTCAGTTGGAAGGCGCCATTCCGAAGCTTGTTGACTGGTTTGCATATCAAACTCGTAAACCCATGTCTCATCACCAGTTATAATGCGTTTTATGAATGTGGGGTCGGAATTAACTCGTTCTAACATGTCTTCAGCGACCTTTACGCGATTGAGTTTTTGAAGAAAATTGAGGTCTTTCGGAACTAGTCGAGCGGCAACGCGTTCCATGCCCAAACAATCGCGTAAAATGGTACGAATTGATTCGTGAGACACCGTAAGTTCAGCGGCTATCTCTCTCAAACTGAAATGACGATTTTCAATCACCATTTCCTTCACTTTATCGATGTTAACTTCAGTTGAAGACGTTGATGGCCGACCAGAGCGAGGCAAATCTTTCACCACATCTCGACCGCTTTTCAATGCACTGTACCATTCATATGCACGTGTTTTTGATAAAGTCGATTCACCGTAAGCCTTCTGTAACATCTTCAGCGATTCGGCACACGAAATTCTATTTGCAATACAAAATTTGAGACAAATTCTTTGTTCGATCTTTTCATTCATTGTAAAAATCGCAAAACACACTTGAGATGAACTGATAAAATCGAGCACGATAATCACATTAAATGACAGATGGCACTCCAGCTCCGCGTCAGTATAGAGGACAGTTATGCCAACTTAGCGACAAAAAGAATTTTGACAATTCCTTTAAGCGGGCTTTTTAAATGATCAATTCCCGGTACTTTTTTGACAGAATGTATATCAAAAATGCAAGGATAACTTTAAAGTGATATAAAAAATTTTGTGAAAAAAAATCGCAATAATTCGTTTTTTCTTTTAAATTAAAGGGAAAAGTTTGAACTTTACGTTGTTGCAAATGACATTTCTCCAAAAAATTTTACAAAATCCGTATATTCCATCAAACTTTGCAATTTTTATGACAAACACACCCTTATATTTGGAGAGTAGTAGGGGTGTATTAAATTTGAAATATGGCCATAACATTTTAAAATAAAGATTTGATGCTTTAATTAAAAAACAAACATTATGCTACGATAATTTTTTGCAAAGTTATTGTTAATCAAAAGTTGTTAATTTTTGTTCACAATTTTTCTATGCCTGTGTTAGCATAACAACCGCTAGTCTCGGGGAAGGAAAACTAGTTGCAGTAGTGATCCCCGGGGTGGGTGGGTCCCAATCACCACGACACAGCGCGTCGTCGGGTTGCGGATAGAGGAAAAGCCTCGCTATCTCGGTTGAGGATAGAGGCTAGCTGCGAATAAATTGAATAAGCAGTCGCGGACGCCGATTGGAATGGTCCTCCTGTTTGGGGGTTGGGCGTGGGTTTGATAGGCTCACACCGTGTGTGAAACGACTTTATCTTGAAACAACCAAAACTCGCCATGGATTCTTCTGGGATAAAATTTTCCGGAGGTATACTAGTCCCCCGTTCGGATCTCCGGGTGGGGACTACCTCGGGGAACTCATGTCGTATAAAGTCAAAACGCGGGAGAGACTTCAAAGTGGGTACGTGGAACGTCCGAAGTCTTTACAGACCTGGGGCGTTTCAATCGATGGTCGGGGAGGTCGAAAGGTACGGGGTAGAAGTTGTCGCGTTGCAAGAAACAAGATGGGCCGGGGAGGGTTCGCTTAATGCGGGTTCGTACACGCTTCACTATGGAGGGTCGGAGATCCATAGTCTTGGCATCGGTTTTATGATTAATAGGAAAATCTTATCCGCGGTAAAAGACATTAAATTTATAAACGAAAGATTAGGATTGCTCGTTGTGCAGGGCCGATGGTACAAGATCGCGATAATCAACGTACACGCGCCGACGGAAGATAAAGATGGCGAAATTAAAGACGGGTTCTACGAAGAACTCGAACACCTCGTGGATCAATTA